CTACCGCCTCCTGAGACCAAGAACAACAATTTCGTCAAAACGGACATATTTTATTTTTTGAACGAAATTGAAAACAAAAAAATTGGCCCGATTTAGGTCGATATTTTCAGCTTTAGGGGGTACGGCGTTCTGAAAACGCCCTACCCCCTGGATGCAAACTAAGTCCAGATACATCCAGGGGGGTACGGCGTTTTCAGGACGCCGTACCCCATGGACTCCAGCTAAGTCCAGATACATCCAAGGGGTCCGGCGTTTTAAGGACGCCGGACCCTCAAGAGCTTGAAATTTCCACCTAAATCTCTCTAATTTATGAGGTTTCAATTTCGTTCAAAAATTAAAATATGTCCATTTTGACGAAATTGCTGTTAAGGATAAATGTGAAAGACATTGTGAGAGAGCGATGGCTAACCCATCTGAATGTGGGAAGGGACGCAGTCATCCAATGGTTTTAAGGACACGAGATTCAAACCGGCGAAATTGGCATGGTTGCAGTGGAAGATAAAGCACCGCTGCCTCCCTACAAACAATTGGCTAATAGATCGAAACTACCTAGAACAAAAGGGCTTAGCGCTCCCATGGTGTCACTCCTGTTTGGCCTCCTTTCCTCACCGTAAGATCCTTGAAACCATAGAGCACATCTTTCTGCAGTGTCCGGGGGCGATTCTGTCATGGCGCTGGTGGGACAACGATCTAAACTCAGTTATGGCACAATGATCTAAACTCTACTTATTCAAACATTCATTTGCTCTGCTCTGGTCTTAGAATCATTACATCTCAACAGATGATTTGCGGCTGCCACTTATGCCCTGGCAATTGATAACGAGTCATGAATATGACAATTATGATGGCGGTGGTGCTGCTGCTTCTCCTGCTGACGATGGAGGTAGTGAATAACGACGTAGCTCGTGTGTGCTCTGGTTGTCAATCACCAATGGACAAACCTGTTTAGTGGGTCGATACAATTCAATATTACATGTATATCCACTCTGGTCGCTCCCCCCCTGCATGACCATCCCTCATCTATTTTTGCTAATACAGCTTGTAATCATGAATGTGGACAATCGATCTGATCTATATACACGCATGTTTTTTCACTATCTACGGAAATCACAGTCTGGCAGAAAGGGTGCGGACGAACGAGCCTGCGGCACCAGAAAGAGTTCGTGGTACTTTACAGGTCCACCAAGTTACACCAAACTGTTTTCCGATTTAGAGGGAGCACATGTTTTCCACAACACCTTCGGCACTTGTTGTCTACAGTCTCCTCCAGAATAAAACGTGCGCAGGTTCTATATACTTTCTATGACAGCAGTAGAAGACAACGCCGTGTAGTTGAATTCCAGTCCGTTCATAGCGCTACCTGCACGGTTCTACTGTTCAACATGTAGCGATATTGAAGCGGAGGTCGGTGGCAATTTCCGGGAGCTTCGAGGCTGGTAGCCCAGAAGAAGCTGAGCTCAGCGGCATTTCAAGTGAAAGTCGGCGGAAAAAAAAAAAGAAAAGAAAAGAAGAGAAAAGAAAAAAAAAAGTGTGGACTTTCAAAGTCCGACTTTAACAATTTTTCGCGCTCAGAAGAACACACCAAAAAATCTGAAAATTTGAAACCCCATAGATTTGGTCGTGATCTTTCCGGGGAAAATATTTTTTGAAAAAAATAGTACAAAATTGTTTAGACCGTGAAGTGCTCGCTGCCGCAATTCAGTGTATTTGCCATGTTTGCCGCTCTGCCGCTTATGGGCCAATGGAAAAGTACTCCAACTTCAGTGATTTTTCACGCCCAGAATAATGTACGGAGAAATCTGAAAATTTAAGGTCCAGCAGATTTGGCTGTGCTCTTTCGAGGAAAATTATCAGATTTTTTCATATATAAATGTATAAATGTTTATTTCGGCCGTGAAATAATTGTCGCGCCAATTCGGCGCAAACTCCATTTTTGCCACTCTACCGGTTCTCTATACTATGCTACCAGTAGCCCTCATGAACTTGTGCTACCGGTCCCCAGAATGTTTTTGTGTCGGGGGGAGTGGTGGTTTAACGTGCGAAACACCAGTTGGGAATCCAGGGATAGAATGACTACGGCAAAGAAAAACTGACAAGCACAGCCTGATTCATCAATTGACCAAGAAATACTGCAGCAAAGGAAAACTGACAAGTACAACCTGATTCATCATTTATTTTTATTTTTATTTTTTTAAGTCATCAGTTTTCCATTCCAAACTTGCAATTCGAGGCCGGGGACCTCACAGATCAACCCGGGTTATCTGACAGCATCAGCCAGCTTAGCTTACAGACCTGGGCCTGTGAAGAGGTACCAATAATACTTACCGAAGCTCTTGAGTAGTATACTAGGGTCTACCGTGAAATGCTTCTAACCCGTGCGCGAGTCTCGATTTCCTGTCTTGAGGTGGTGCCCCGTATTGGTTCTATTTCCGCCGTTCCTTGTGTTCGGGTGACTAAGACTGCGCCCTGGACCCAGAACCTAAACTATACTGCTTCTGGGGCTAACTCGGCCCAGAGGACAAAGTCCGAAGCCTACTGGCCCACTGGGGCCCTATTCAACCGAGTGCCCTGGTTGCTGCTAAGTTTCCATCTAATGTCCTTCTGCTTTGCTCTCTAGAGATAGTTAGGCCACGGCTGGAGTGCACTGCAGCCAGCCGGTTTCCGCGGGCCCACGTTCGGAGGAACCAAAGTTTTTGTTTTCTGCTGCCCCTCCAGGCTTTTGTCTTTCTCCGCCAATCAATTCTAATTGCGTGCTTGAGCCCAGTCTTGATCCTTCCCAATCTTGCCCTATTTCGGTCCGTCCAGATAACTTCGTAGATTATGCCCCTTACTATGTGGGCAACGTACCGCCGCCCCTTCTTCCCTTACAGGTTACTGGGCAGAAAGCCCAACAGTGCCCAATGCTCGCCCCAGTTCAGTTGGGCGGCTCCCATCTCCTTCCAGTGGTTAGCCCACCACAGCCAAATGTGTTTAGAAGCTGGGCACTCCCACCGCAGATGTCTTGTGGACTCAAATGGCCAACGACATCTGGTGCAGCCCAGCTCAACCACCACTCCTCGACTCAGCAACCATACAGCAGACGGGGTTACCATCAAGGACAGCAGCCACAGTATACTTACCTGTTTTCCGTTTGGGAGATCGCACAAGGTCTTCCACAGAAGCTCAAACTGAGCGGTGGATGCTGGTAGGTTACTCCCTAGCACGGCTGACCATCTGGATACTGCCACCGATGACGGTTTTCTGGAGGGTCTGTTGGTGAGTTCATAGCCTAATCTCGAGTTATACTCTGACAGGCTGATTGATGCGTCGTTTGAACTGTCTGGTACTGCTCTGTTCCAGCTCCAGGCCAGCGGGTCGATCCACAATTGCCTCAGAGCAGCGCGACCCACCCAGGTTAAGACGAGTTGCTTGGCATGTTGCAAGGATTCCACTATTCTGGCCTGTGGCCCTGTGGGGGGTTTGCCCATCTCTGGACTGTTCATTCCCCTTGTCTAGTCAGTGTGTTCGTGTGTCCCTCGCATTCCCACTCCTCCACCCGCCTCAAACCACTTGGGTGATTTCTTTCACTCTTCAGACCACATCTCCCTCTCTCCTTTTGTCTGCGACATACCAAGTGTCCACTGGGTCCACCCCGTCCGGACTTAGGATCGCAAGCCAGGTTTGAGGGATAGCCTCCCGGATGGTCTGCCAATTCTCTCCTACCCGTCTCAGTCCAGGGAGGCGGGCCTTGATCACTGTCCATGGTTCCCAACCTCCCAGCAAGGATGACCACAGTTCCCAAACTCGGTTCACCTCTTTCCGCATCCAAGCCAGTCTGTTGCATACTTGTGAAACACAGTCATAAGTATGGCGCAGATTCCCAGAACCGACCAGATAATACAGAGTTGATACAAATACAGCGGAAGGCATGATACCTTTGGACTGACTCAGACCTGACTCGGACTGCAATTGAACAACTCTCATACATTCATCGGGTGTGAATGCCCTGGCCTTGAGAAGAGACGAACGGCCAGGGGCTGGAATCATACATGGACGAAAGGGGGAGAGGAGAGAGACGAAGGAGGAGGAGAGGGGAGATGATGTCAACTCAATGTTTCCAAAGAGAGTAACTTGAACTGTCAGAAGTGACGAAAATCCGAAATGTCGTGAATACGAAGTCTTACAATCTCCCAGATGTCGATCTCACAATGTCAAGTACATCTCCGAAGGAGAGATGAAATCAGATCCCGAAATAGTCCTCAACTCGTACTCTCAATGTCGCTGTCTCAGATGTCATCAGAAATCGTAACCATCTCCATTACTGTAGTAGTAGTCATGTAGGAGGAGTAGACTTAGACTGAGAAGGTAGGGAGAGAGAGAGAGAGAGAGAGAGAGAGAGAGAGAGAGAGAGAGAGAGAGAGAGAGCCGAGGCAAAGAAACAGAGGGAGAGAAGGCAGAGCCTTCCTCCCGGTACTTGCTGGTAGCTATGGCGCGACTGGGCCGTTGCGCTGTTCCTCTTGCCGCTGCGCCCGCTGTCTCCTGGCTGCTCTCGCTGCTGCTGCGCTGCGCTAATCTGCTTAATGCCTGGCTGCTCCGCTAATCCTCCAGACTAACTCGTACATACTAACCTACTACTGAGGCTGGTACCCAGCCTTTTGTAGTGCTGGGCCGGCCTCTTTCCCTATTGGTGCCTACCGGCCTGGACCGTTGATCTGAATCGACGGTCCAGATTCAAACTGGGTTTGGCGTCAAATGGGCAGCCTCTGAAACGCCGCCGGTTGGTCCTGGGCTGGACCGGTACCGGCCTCTGGCCGTTTGGGCCTATCGTGCCCTACCTCAGGCCTATTTGGTCTTAGCGTGAACCGTCGTCCCCCTAGGCCTACCCTGCCTACTGGGAACCGGGCCCTAACTAGGGCCCGCGTGGCTTAGTATGCCAAACACTCCCCCCCTTGAAAGACCGAGCTAACTGCGAGGGCGAAGCTGTCTGTCCGATGTCCGTACAGGGCGGGCAGGTTGGGCAGCTTCCTTAGCAAGTCGCTGTTTTTCTTAATGCGCGAAGATGAGGGGTGTTGTCGCCTTCACATCAGCTCTTGAGATCCAGCGTGTGTCGTTCCGATCGCATTGCTTGAATGTAACTTTGTACTGTATCGGCTTGTTGCCATGCTTGCGATGCGTGAGAACGTGGTCGACCTCCTGATGGCCATCCATTGAAGGAGGGTCCTGTGACCATCTGCCCGGGAAGTCCACTGCGGAGGCTGGAGTGTAAACTGCCAGCTTTGAGGCGTGAAAGATCAGGTGGACCATCAAATGCGGGGGAATCTCAACGATGAATGATGGGCCCGCGGGGTTGTCGCCAGCTGCTGAAGTGACCATCCATGGTCCAAACCACTTCGGGAGGAGCTTGCGCGAGACGTCCTGCTCGAGCGCGAATTCCTCGGAGGCGACCCAGACTAGGTCGTCAGCGCGAATTGGACATGGGATGTGACGCCGGTTCATTTGCTGCTGCATACGGACCTGGGCCTTTTGCATGTTTGCGCGGGCTTTGGCCAGCAGTTCCCTGTACTTCCGTGTAGAAGCGGGGGAGCAAGCGGCGTCTATATCGGCAACCCGTGAAAGCAAAATGTCTGCGAAGATACGTCCTTTCCGTCCACCGTGGTGCAACTCGAATAGAGTCACGCCAATCGCCGGGTGCACCGAAGTGTTGTAGRCGAAYTCGATGTYGGGAAGGCGGTCAACCCAGTCCTTCTGATCCGGGCGGATGAGTGTGCGGAGCATCATCTGCGCAGTCTGATGCGCACGTTCCGTTTGCCCATCCRTTTGAGGATGCCGTGCGGAGCTCGGTTTCATGCTGGTGCCGGATTCCACCATGAGTGCCGTCCAAAAGGCCGACATGAAACGAGTGTCGCGGTCGCTGACGATGTCTTCCGGAACGTCGTGGCCACAAAACCAGCCGGTATGCAAAAGTCGTGCGAGCTCGGGAGCCGTCGCATGATACTTGCATGGAAGAAATCGAGCGTACTTGCTCAAACGGTCAACGACCGTGAGAATGCCATCATGACCAAGGCGATCTCGAGGGAAAGGACCGGTCACATCCATAGCAATGGAGAGACCCGGTGCCCGAGGAATCGGCAATGGTTTCAGTTCGCCGTACGGGAGCTGATGGCGCCCTTTGTTCCGGTGGCAAACTGCACATGACTGAATGTATCGGTTGACGTCGCTAATGATGTCCGGCCAGTGGAATCGCTAGCGGAGTCGTGCGAGTGTGCGTGCGACGCCAAGGTGTCCCGCCAGCCGCGAATCATGGTATTCGCCAAGGAGGCGAGTGCGCAAGATGCGGTCTTGGGGAACACACAACAAGTCCTTGCCTCGCGTGTGGAGGAGCAAGTAGCCGTCGGTGATGCGATAATTGCTTGCCGGCGGTTGGTACGATGATAAGTCCACGTAGAGTGTGGAGAATCCTGGATCCGACTTGTAGCCATTTACGAAATGTTGTTGGAGGTCCTCGTCGAGGCCGAACGTGGAATGCACCATGGCGCAAAGATCGGGTCTTCGCGAGAGAGCATCCGCCGCCTTGTTCGAGGAGCCYGGAATGTGCTTGGAGGTRAAGTCGAAYTGGTCAATGAAGTACATCCACCGACCGATCGTGCTGCTCAYCGTGTCTTGYGTYTTGTAATATGTCRATGGATTGTTGTCYGTTGCSCACGTGAATCGCCGACGCCCGAGGAGAAAGTGACGCCAACGCTTAAGTACGCTGACAAAAGCTAGGAGTTCCTTCTTCCTCGCATCATCAAGAGTGTTGATGGGCGACACCTTTTGGCTGAAGTTCTCAACCGGATGCCAGTCTGTGTCGTCATGCTGTTCCAGGACCGCGCCAATGCCGTAACCAGAAGCGTCCGTAGTCACTTTGGTAGGCAACGTCGAGTCATAGATGCTTAAGATGGGAGCTTGAAGCATGGCCGTTTTCAGTGTGTGAAACGCATGCCGGGCCTCGTCGTTGAATTCGAAAGGCACCAAGGGGGACTGGAGTCGCGACAATGGTGCAGCGATGCGTTAAAATCCTTTGACGAAGCGCATGTAGTACGATGCCAAGCCGAGAAAGGAGCGGACGTCGGTAGTACACTTGAGGTCCGACCAATCTTGAATCGCTTGTAACTTGTCCGCGAGTGGACGAATGCCTTCAGCGTGACGTAATGGCCCAAGTACTCCAGCTCTTGCTGGGCAAACTCGCAATTGTCGCGGTTTGCCTTGTACTTGGCGATACGAAGCCGCTCCAATACGACGCGAAGGTGCTCGAGATGCTCGTCCAGCGACCGACTATAAGCCAAGATGTCGTCGAGGTAAATGAGTACGGAGCAGTCAAGTAAGTCGCGGAATTCCGTCGTCATAGCCGCTTGGAAAGTAGCCGGGGCATTGGTGAGACCGACAGGCATGACGATCCACTCAAAGTGCCCATACCGCGTCTTGAAAGCGGTTTTGTACCGATCTCTTGGCTGAATGTCGATCTGGTGATAATCGGACTTGAGGTCAAGCTTTGAGAAATACTCGGTGCCGCCGAGTCGCTCGAGAAGATCATCGATCCGAGGGAGAGGGCTGGCATTCTTGATCGTTTGTGCGTTGAGCTTACGATAGTCGATGCACAACCAAAGGTCCTTGTTCTTCTTCCGGACGAAGAGAACGGGAGCACCGTATGGCGAGCAGCTAGGGCGAATCCAGCCCTTGGCCAAGAGGTCGTCTAGTTGTGCTCGAAGCACTTGAAGTTCCTCTTCGCTCATGCGGTAGATACATCCGCATGGAGGTACGGCGCCGTCCTCGAGAGTGATCCCATGACGTATGGGCCGATCCGGTATGACTACGGCGGGAGCTTGAAAAACATACCCATAGTTGTCCAACAACTCAATGATGCGTGGGTTCGACGTATCCATCTTGGGCTGATCACCGGGTGGGAGGGCGTGAAGAAAACATATGCCCATCTCCTCGATGTCGTTTCGCCGGATAGATTGGCGAATGTTCGCCGCGGATACCACGTGACAACCAATCGAAGGATGAGGAAGCGGCACCGTACACGGTGTCGGGACCTTGATGAGATTGACGTTGCCAAAGGTTATTCAGACCAACCCAATAACTAAGAAACCTAAAGCCCGGCGTCCATGCCGTAGGACGTCGTTGACGCGTGACGTCATTGACGTTCGTTCGAAACAGCGGGAGTCAGCAGTGCGGCCTGTCTTCCATGGTTTCCGACAGGGCCGCGGTGGTGCGCGGTCATGAAAAGACTAAAGTTAGACCTATTTTACCCAAAAATAATGTCGAGCGGCTTAGCAGCCGCGCGATTCAGGGCCTAAGCAGGCTAAAAAGGAGTCGCTGCGACGAGGATGGGACGCAGCGTGAGGGACAGTTAGTTTTAGGGCCCGCATGACTTTTGCGCCAAGGATCGGGGGTGATGGCGTTGGGGCCGGCTGGGTCGRGTAGYCGTTAAGGCCGTCGGCTGCTAACCCAGCCAGCCAGCCATGGTGGTATACWGGCTTAGCGGGCAAAGCCTGCTAAGCGCCGTACGGGGACCTGCTGGGCGGCAGAAACCCTTCATATAGAAGGGCTGCTCCTTCCTGTATGTGAAAAGGAGCTAGCCCAGTAGGTACCGTAGCCAGGCTGTTACCCCGTAGATATAGAGATCGAACCCGACAACAGGCAACTGGGCTAACTCCTTTGGAGCAGCCCAACCTTTTGGCACGGCCGTTTTCGGCCGTGCGATCGCTGAGATCGCGCGGCTGAAAACAGCCGCGCGGAGGTCTATATGGGCCTGCGCAAGGATAGCACACGTAAAAAAATTAAAAAAATAATAATAAAAAAATAAAAAAGTATACATACAAATTTTCGTCGAGTCCATAAGGACTCGAACTCGGATCTGTACCTTGATAGTGCGTGGCTGAAAAGCCACGCAGGGGTCTGAGGACGACTGTTGGCTTAAGCCAACAAAATCGAAAAAAAAAAAAAACTAAAACTAAACTGACATGAAGCGTCACATGGCGCTATATGAAGTGACTGGGGCACTTTAGTCCCCAGCCAATGTGACAGGCGCCTGTTGGAAATGGGCAGCCTTGATTTAGGTAAGTTCTTTTTCTTTTTCTTTTAAGATTCAGTTAGATTTTCTTTTTAAGATTTTGTCTAGATTTTTTTTGACTTTTTGTTTTCCTTTTTTTGAGAGATTGCGTGCCCGTTCGTTTTGGACAAACGGGCAGAAAAAAAAAGCATGACTGAGACAGGCTGTTTCGTCAGACTTCCACCGACTCATCAGGAAGTTAAACCTCGACACCCAATCTACGGATGGGCAAACGCATCTGCCGCCCTAAGCGGCTAAGTTCAGAGAGAGAGAGAGAGAGAGAAACACACCAACCCACCTGCGCTCGTTGGATTTTGGAACGGGCTGCAGTGGTTGCCTGCGCGCCCGAACCTGGCACTGAAAGCGTCCGGGTACGGGCGCAGGGCAAAGGGGGAAAAGAAGACCCTGTTGAGCTTGACTCTAGTTTGACTCTGTGAAAGGACTTGGGGGAGGGACGTGCTCGTTCGTTTTTCGAACGACGAGCTGTCCCTGCTTAAAAAAAATACAAGGGGGAAAAAGGGAAAAAAAAGAAGTTGGAAAAAAAAAAACGGCCGCGGATCTAGCCGCGGCCTCGGTCCAGATGCAAGTTTAGAAGCATCTGGACTGAGAATTGACAGCAGACTGTTGGTTTCAACAGTTTGCTCAGAAATGGCTAAGTACAACCATTCCTGGGCTGCGTCTAGCCGCGGGTGAGGGCCAGATACATTTCCAGTGGCCAGAACCCAGTTCCCCTAGGGGAACAACAGACTTTGTGGCCCTTGATCGCGTTTAGATCAAGGGTCAGGCCTCATTCCGAGTTCTGGYTGTGGGCAAAGYAGCTGCCCACATGCTCTCRGCTGGCTATTAAAGCCAACATTCCACCCAGCAGCCTCACGAGTTGTGGCAGTGCTGCTGAGGCATTCACTTGAGTGAATGCTGGCTGGCTGCTGCTGTGGGGCGGTGCTGTTGGTGGAGGTYTGCAGTGGGTGAGGAGAGAGTTGAGGAGGAAACTGYTGAGGGGGAGGGCCACARCTGTGAAGCACRGCCATAGCCACCATCTCAGTGGTGRAGGGGAAATGTTGCACGGTCTGCRCGGCGACTGGAGTTCTGAAGTATAGGGGAGGTGTTGTTCAGTCAGCGCGGCGACGACAGYGGGTTTATCTACGGTAGTGCGGAAGCGCTGCCGAAATTTTGCGKCGGCGGCTATGCTTTTTCGGCGTTGACGCGGAAGCGCTGCCGAAATTTTGCGGCGGCGGCTATGCTTTTTCGGCGATGACATGGAAGCGCTGCCGAAATTTTGCGGCGGCGGTTATGCTTTTTCGGCGGTGACGCGGAAGCGCTGCCGAAATTTTGTGGTGGCAGCTGGGTTTTTTAGCGGTGGTGTGCAAGCGCTGCCGAAATTTTGCGGCAGCAGCGGTGTTCCTTCTAGTGGTGGTGTGAATGTGCTGTCCGATTTTCACGGCACCAACGACAATGTTGAGAAATGTCGTCAAGAGGGGGTGTATTTCGAGGCGGTGTTGATATTGTGTTGTCCTCATATTACAGCGGCGACGCCYCGACATAGTGGTGGTGTGGTGGTACGGGTAGCCAGTGGTGACAACGCTGAGGCACTGAGGGGATTGCGTGTCAGTGGGCGATCCTTRAGGGAGTGGTGTGGATCACTTTTCTGACAGTCTACTGCGGCGATCTTCTCAGTTGGAGTGTGGTTTATACGGCTTTCTTGAGTGGGCCGTTTGCTATCTTTGGTTCAGCTTCACTCAAGGTCAGTTAGCCTGACTCAGTCCTCTTCACACCTATGTGAACCCACACTTGCTTGACCCTATTCTTTGAATGTTCTTTGAAAAGGTARAGGAAGCTGTGTTTTCTTCGCACGTGTGAATGAAAGTCTGACATGAGYTTGGGTTTGCATTGTTTTCTTTTGAACTTGTTGTTTGATCTGATGTGCARGTAAGTAGATGGATGCTTGAAAAATGGAGATTTAATCATGTTAGCGAAAGAGAATGGGATAATGATTGTTTTTTATTTTTTGCTTGCATGCATGTTGAGAGGATGGGAAGACAGCAGATGACGAGAAACGGAGCGATCACACAAAGGGGAAGAAGTGAATTGGACATAGATTTTTCCCTGGGGTTGCCCATTCTTTCCCGAATGACCCTCTTCGTCTATGCCCTTCCATCTGAATGTTTTTCTTCTCTATGATCCCTTTTTTTCGTCTAGGTTCGCTCTTGACGTTAGGCGATAAAGGGCTGACCGTTCGCTGTGGTAAGTGCATTTCCTTTTCCTATGAGGCATCTGAGGCGRGGGTTCGTTGCCTTAGGGGCCGTCCCTRTTAACGTCTCGGAGTGGACCGCTTTGGCGGGGGGGTACCATGTTGTCGTGGTGGAGCGAGGACGAGGGGTATCCCAAACCACCTCCCAGGGGATGGACGTGTGCTATTCACGGAAGGCGTTAAGTTCTTGACGGCTCMCGTTAAGAAGAACCGCTATAGTTTACCCTTCTAGTAACCGTCTTAAGAGYCACGGATGAGTGAGGAGCCGGCGCCATAAGAAGCCTAGTTCGTGCGATCACTAGCTATGGACGGAGTGCGACTAGGCACTACCTTCGCGAATAGGGTTGCACCATAAGAAGYGCAAGCCTGGGACGATCASGCTAGTTGACGGAAAAAATGTAACTAAAACATTGCCTTGAATATCTTTATATCGCAGAGTGGTATTTCATCATTCGCGAGACAGAAAAAGTAATCATTGCTCGAGAGGACAAAGCGACCAACAAAATTCGCAAATGGATCCTTGACCTTAATGAGGCATTCAACGTTCGGTCGTTCAAGTCGAGTACTGACTCGTATAGTGGTAGYCGGACTACTTGCAAATGACATTCACACCAAAGTTAGAAAGGTAGTGATGTCATCGCGAGAATAGTGTGATCCTAGCTCTACTTGAGGGTTGGGATGTCCGCATTTCCTTKCTAGCAGTCAACATGCAGTGGAATGAAAAAACTTGGCAACGCATCTTATCAAGTCGAAAAAGTCGTGACAGTCCAATCGTCTGGCAAGTAGAGTGTAGGTACTTTTGTCGGAAGTCATTTAAGCTTCGCATCGTGTATAAGTCATGTTTTTGTCCTTTTGTTGATAAGTGAGGTTCGAAGGCGAGTCAGCTCATGTGTCTCGTCGTTGGATAAAAGTCAAGTCAACCCTTGTCAAATTGATCGGGGCGAGTGGTATGCAAGGYTATAAGTTGATCTCAGAATATATGTCAAATTACGTTGACCTGAGTCTTCTTTTAATGTTTAACTTTTGATTGTCTTTGRAAGAAGTGACTAGGATTGATTGAGGTTTTCTTACGCTTGGAATATCACGTCCTAGTCGACCGACGTCGTTCCGATTCCTGGGAGATCAGCGCCCCAGGGACGAGCGGCGTTCGGGTCCACTTGGTGTTTAACCATGCGTACCTATGCTACAGCGAACGAGCAAACGCCCTCGGCCAACCTACCTCTGCAATTGCATTATAAAARCTTTCGCATGTGGGTCGGTAGCTCGGTAGGGATACGCCCCTAAGGGTGGTGACARCCCCTTAGGGAAGGTWAGTTGTGCCCCGCGAGAACCTGTCCTTTCGTAGGGGACCGCGGGATGTACAGCTGGCGCACTCGGCYGGAGCGGCGAAGGGTCGACGAGGGTTACCGTGYCGTCCCCGAGTTGTCTCTAAAAAATTGAAAGCCTAAGTTTCTCCTGCGTGRCGCGGYCGGGAGGGCCCTCGCTCGCGYGGGGGCCGATGCGATCGACAGGTGGCACCGTTGCCGGGGATAACGACAAACTACCGTTGTCAATGGTGGAACGACACTCAGGAATGAAGCAAGTAAAATATCATGTCATAATGGTTRTCTAAGACAAAAGGTTAGTAATCTCTGGACCTCTATAAGTGTAAGGAAGAAACCTTAATAGATGCTACCAAACTCCTAGACTGATTTCTTGGACTTATGTTTTGGTCCCTAGATGGCCGGTGCCGCAGAACGTCGCGACAAGGACGACGATGGGAGGAATRACATTCAAGAACTGGCACGGGTCATCCGGCAGTCGCAGCGAGATTCCTACCCTAAGATTGATGTTCCRTTGTTCGACGGGAATCATGCCTCTTCTTGGGCAGATAAGTTCGAGCAATTGGGATATAGCAACGAATGGACAGATGAGAAGATGCTTCGCATGGTTAAAAGATACTGTCAGGTGGGGTACTGAGACGAGATCGATGAGCTGGTGCGAATCTCTCATGATTGGTCATATTTTAAGGCGCGATTGTTGGAGAAGTACCAGCTTAGCGACCGGTTGCTCGACCTGCASGATTTTAGGGCGGTGGATCRTAAAAAGTTTGGTATTAGCAAACAGTTTTTATCGGAATTTTAGCGTGTGGCTCGCCTAATCCCRGATCTGTCAAACAAAGATCGCTGCCTTATTTTTCTTGATAACTTCAACGACGTYGAACGGTCGAAATTGGTTGAAGGGATGCAAGGGAGGTATGACTGGACTAAGGTCCGRCAAAATGCACTGGYGGGGAAGTTCGACGATATCCTCTACCGGCTGTTAAGGCAACAAAAGAAGGAACGGSAAAAGGTGAAGCTGGGAGAGGTGAAGGACGGTGGGATTTACAAAACTTTAACCCGCATGAGAGAAATGATGGAGGGTATGAAGGAGGAAAGGCTGAAGTTTCAAGTCAWGTTGGCSAAAGAGAAAAATAGTGAGAGGAAGGGGAAAGAGCCGATGGAAGAAGAAARCGACAGTGAGAGCGAAGTGGAAAAGGAGCCGCCTCGCAAGTTAACAAAGGCGGAGAGGAAGGTCTTGAATCAAATTCGAGGCGGACAGGGACCTCCCGTAAACAGRGGAAGAATGGCGGACAAAATAATCAAGGAGGGAATGGCGGTGCTGGCGGTRATTCGTCAGGACAAAGTTTCCAAGATCAAGGGCAGTTTCAGCCGCAGGGTGGAAGAGGCCGCGGTCGAGGCCGTGGGAACGGACAACAAAACCGTTGGGCGTGGCAACAGGAAGCCACATGTAACTATTGAGCAGAAAAGGGACATATTATGCGGTTTTGCCAACTCCTTTCAAGAGATGAAAAGGAAGGAATTGTCTTCACCACGATACGAGGTTAGGTCTTTGATTACGAAGGGAACTTGATCGACCCCAACATTGAAGGGGGTATGAGGAAGGAGGCATTTCGCCGTATGGGTCCTCCGCTGCCGGCGACGTTCCGGATTGCTTCTCCTGAAGAAGCGCGGTTGGCCGGGGTCGAGGAGGCCATGGCGTCATTACATATTGACGRCTCGTCAGCGGAACCAAGAGGGTTTAGGGAACAAGTGGTGGAACGAGCGCAAACCATCAAGACGAGGCTTGCCCGATGGCGGGACTCTATCATTCGACTTTGCGTGGACATGGAGGAAGTCTGACCTGGATTGCCGAATGTCTTTCTCTTCAGCGAATGGGGTGATAAAAGGGAAGTCKCGTCTGGCCAAGCAGGGACGTCTGCTCCGAGAGAAGCATTGCAAACAAGGCCAAWGGTAAGCACGATGCGACSTAGGCCTGTGCTAAAGAGGAGTGCTCCGACCGTAGCCGTTYAGACTCGGATGCGGCGACGAAACGAGCAGCTTCAGAAGAAAAGAGAGTCTGGAAAGGTAGTGGAAGAAGAGCCTATCCCCGTTAGCGAGAACGATGAGGATAATGAGGATGAGAAGTTGCGGGTCGAAGAAGAAGAACGTGCTCGCCGGCCGACACTGGAAAGGGAGTCGGAGAAAGGGAAGGCCGAAGCAAGCGAGGAGGAGTCACGAAAGAAGAAGAACGTTTATTCGATCCCCGTGGMGCAGGGGGTCAATATCGAGCAACTCGTCAATAAGATTCTGGAAAGTTAGCGCGACTTGGTYACGCTGAAGGAAATTTTGGYGGTATCGCCGAACATTCGAGAGGAGTTTAAGCAGCGGATGACTCGCAAGAGAGTCATGACTATTAAGCTCGGCGAARTCATTCCGCCGGAAGCTAACTGGTCCCCGCCTGGGACGAAGATGGACTGGCGAAGTGTGTCAACCGACCATATGAAGGTCCAGATTGGACAGCAGGAGTACTCGRCACTTGTGGATGATGGACCTGAGATGAATATCATTCGTGAGCGCCATGGCATTGAAGCTGGCATGAAGATCAACCGCGATGACTATGGGTTTCTGGTGGGAGCTAACGGATCGACCCCATTCTGCGGGACAGCCAGTGGCGTTCTCGTCACGGTCGGGAAGGTCAAAGTCCGCTCTTATTTCTACGTGTTACCTAGAGTGGAACACGAGGTGCTTCTGGGAAGGGCGTTCCTATGTCGGTCGGAAAGCATCATCATTAACAAGCATGATGAAACCATGTTTGTAATTCTTTGCGATCCTGTCAGCGGTTATTACGAAGTGGTCAAGTGTGCGAACACTGGACCTTATTGCTCGCGGAACCGGTTGAACCCGGAATCCTATACCTTTCCGGRKTCAGAGAAGTTGAGAAGGGAAAAGRAATCACTATGGGAGGAGACGAATCCTCGTGAGTTCTCGCTGACCCTGCCTGATATTGGGCAGGCAATCGATTTCCCGTCGACACATGCGACGATTGATCCAAATGTGGTGCAAGCCTTGACGGAGATCATCACGGACACCGGAAGCGCATGAACTATGCGCCTTGTTTATTCCCCGTCGGAGGGGAATAAGGGAGAAGATCAGGAATTGCCCTCCACTCGACAGGGTCCTTTTTTAGAGGACGCAGGCTTGACACTGGCGCCAAACGTAAGTACAAGAAAGTAGGCGTGAAGGCGAAGCCGGTACCTGTTCTGATCACTAAGGAGGAGGAAGTTTATTATCGTGAGGAGCGCGARTGGATCAGAGAAATGAAAGAGAGAGGTGAAAAGGGGCCATGTCGGTTAACTAAAGAAAGAGTGAAAAGTATGATCRTTGGGGAGGAAGACCKCCTTACTGAGCAGGAAAAAKGGTATATCATCGATATATTGAGGGAGGAACATCTCTCCTATGCGTTTGATGATGATGAGCGCGGAAGGCTGGTTGTCGATAAAATCCCKATGATCAGAGTTTATACTGTACCACACGAGCCATGGAATGTAAGAGGGCCACGTTATCCGAATCCGGAGGATCACCATAAGTTGGTCGCGTATCTCGATGGAAAGATCCGGACAAAGGTTGCAAATTATTCTTACRGACCATATGCATCTCCATGGTTCTGTTTCATCAAACCGAATAGTGCTCTGCGATGGATTCAGGACCTTCAGAAGCTGAATTCGGTGACAGTGCGAGATGTAGGTGGGCTCCCACATGCAGACCTACTATCTGAGTCTTGTGCAGGGAGGTCTATCATCACCCTCATTGATTTATATTCCGGGTATGATCAATCTCCCATTTACACTGCGAATCGGCCCAAAATGGCGATGCATAGTCCTCATGGATTGATCCATATGTGTGTGGCGCCGCAGGAGTGGACGAATGCAGTTGCCATTGTTCAGAGATATATGACGAGGGTTATGCAGCCTTATTATTCTGACATAACTTCACCGTACATTGACGACTTGGCTATTCAAGGATCTTGTACGAAGGACCTGACGTAGGTATTGTCGGGCATTCGCCGCTTTGTATGGGAGCACATCAATGATGTGGTGAAAATCCTTAAGAGATTGAAGGAGTTTAATCTCACAACTAGTGGGATTAAGTCTCGACTTTGTATGAAGAGAGCAGTGATCTTGGGATTCCTTTGCGACGAGAAAGGTCGCCGGCCGGATGCGAAGAAGACTAATAAGATCTTGGAATGACCGACCCCTTTCAAGTCGATCACAAACGTGCGAAGTTTCCTCGGAACCTGTGGATTTTGGCGCATCTTCATCCGCAGGTTTGCCGCCAAAGTGGAGCACTTGCGAAAGCTTGTGCGCAAAGGTCAGAAGTGGGAATGGGGTCCGAAGCAACAAGAGGCCGTGGAGGATATAAAGGCTGAGTTTCGTGAGGGCGGATTGATCCTTGGAGTTACCTTTTTCGATGATGATGAGAAACGTCCTTTTGTTATTGAGACTGATGCGGGGCCTACAGCCCTAGGAGGGGTCTTCGTTCTGAAGGACGTTGAGGGGCAGGAAAGGCCTCTCAGATTTGAAAGCAGGACTCTGAATGTTGTTGAGAGAAACTATTCCCAGTTCAAAATGGAAACTTTAGTCGTCCTTCACTGCTTCCACATCTTTCAGAATTATGTGTTTGGGAGACGCTTCATCCTGCTGGTAGACCCAACTGCTTTGGCTCAATCCTTAAGGAATTATTCACCTGCTGATCCCACCATTGCACGATGGTTGACTTATATTTGGATGTTTGACTTTGAAATCGAACGGATTTCGGGGAGTCAGAATCACGCTGATGGGCTAAGTGAGGTTGAATGGGATCCAGAATCGGATCAGGCAGAAGAATCAGTTCCGGTCGATGCCTTTCTGAAGGAAGAGGAGACGAGATTGAGTATTAACACTCTTGCCTACCTGACAGATGCGGCCACTCGGCATGGGAAATCGATATGGAATGCTCCTGCCTTTCACGAGGTACGTTCAGAGCTCGTGATGGAGGAACCTTTCATTGAGGAGGACCCATGGGGCGAGCAGACCGCAGAGGAAATGATGAGGTTGGCTTTGACCAATGACAGCGACCTTATGCTTGATCCACTAACGATTGAACAGGGCCATACGCAGGCTGATTAGGCTTTCCAGACCGTTGGAAGGATGTCATATATCATGAACTTGTTGGTTCACGAGGATCGCATGGGGTTAATGAATGCGGAGGAAGGGAGCAGTAAGGTCAAAGAGGCATTCAAGGAAAAAGAGTACGAAGGGGAATATAAGAAGATAGGCATGTGGTTGAATGGGGAATTGGATGAAAACGAGGTTGATCCGGTTGTGCGGGAGAAGAGCAAAGGATTCGTTGTTCGTGACGGTTATCTCTTTAAGAAAGCTGTTGATGGTGTCCCAAAGAGGGTGGTATGTGGAACCTCTCGACAGTTGGATGTGATTGCTGCTTTGCATGATGGGGTAGCCGGCGGACACAGATCTGCACGGGTAACTTTGAACAAGATCCAACGTCTCTATTTTTGGGAAGGGATGAGCAAGATGGTGATTGACTTTTGTAAGTCTTGTTTCCCTTGTCTACAGAGGTCTAATATCCGCTACCTTGAGCCCCTAAATCCACGTTATGT